GCTGCAGGGATTTGCTCTTGTCGTCTTGCTGCTGCTGCTGAGCATCCAACAGCTGCTGCTGCAGCTCACCGTTCGCCTGCTGCAGTTTCATCAGCTGCCCGTACAAATCCTGAGGAGCACACGCAGCAGAAGCAAGAGCACAGACATATGCAGCAGCAGCAGCAGCAGCAGCAGAAGCAGCAGCAGCAGCAGCAGATGGAACTAAAAACATAGCTACGATGGTCTGCGCAGCTGCAGCAGCACGAAGCAGCACCTGGATGTGCTGCTGCTGAGATTCGACCTCCTGCTGCAGCTCCTGCACTGCTTGCGGCGCGTCGCTGTCTTCACTTTCCTCCTGCTGCTGCTGCTGCTGCTGCTGCTGCTGCTGCTGCTGCTGCTGCCTTATGCGGCGCTGCTGCTGATCCAGCTCGCGACGGATGCGGCCGGCTGCTTCCTCTCTAGCAGCAAGCTGCTGCTGCTGCACTTGCAGCTCTTCAAGTTGCTGCTGCAGCAGCAGCTGCTGCTGCTGGAAATCTTGCTGCTGCTGCAGCTGCTTCTCGGTGAATTCTTTCTCAGATTCCTCCAGCTGCTGCTGCTGCCGTGCAAGGTGATTTTGCTGCTGCTTCAATAGCTGCTGCTGCAGCAGCAGCTGCTGCTGCTGCACCTCTCGCTCGCGCACAAGACGTTCTGCTTCCCGTTGCTGCTGCTGCTGCTGTGCAGCAATGCGCCGTTGCTGAGAATCCACACGGTGACGCGCTTCGCTGGCTGCTTGCTGCTGCTGCTGCAGCTCCTCCTGCTGCTGCTGCAGCTCTTCGCGCAGCTGCTGCAGCTCCTCTTGCCGCTGATTCAGACCCCGTCTTCGTTCCTCCAATTCCTGCTGCTGCTGCTGCAGCTGCTTCAGCTGCTGCTTCAGCTGCTGCTGCTGCTGCTGCATTTCTGCTTCNCCTGCTGCTGCTGCTGCAGCTGCTTCAGCTGCTGCTTCAGCTGCTGCTGCTGCTGCTGCATTTCTGCTTCGCGCCTCTCCACCAAATGCCGGTGCTCTTCCAGTTGTAGCTGCTGCTGTTGCATTTCCTGCTGCTGCAGCTGCAGCAGTTGCTGCTGCTCGTGCATCTCCTGCTGCTCCTGCTGCAGCTTCTCGCTCAGGGCATCGAACTCGCGCTGCTGCTGCTGCAGCAAAAGTTTGTCTTCATCAAGTTGCCGACAGTCCCGCTGCAGCAACCGCTGCTGCTCCTGCTGCTGCAGCAGCAGCCGCTGCTGCTCCTCATGCAGACAACGATGCTCTTCGCGCAGCTGCTGCTCTGCTCTTTGGAGTTGCTGCTCCTGCTGCTGCTGCTGCTCCTTGGTGGAGTTCTGTTCAGCCTGAGGAGCAGCAGCAGCAGCACAAGACAGCAGCAGACACACCTGCTTAGCAGCAGCAAACAGCAACCTCGCTGTAGACTCTACCACTGCAGCAGCAGCAGCAGGAGCAACAGGAGCAGCAGCAACAGCAGCAGGAGCAGCAGCAGAAGCAGCAGCAGCAGCACCAGAAGCACAACACCCCACCATAAGTTCCTTGAGGCGTGTCGATAGGCGGGCGATGGTTTCTGCTGCGTCTGCTTGCTGCTCCTGCAGCTCGTTCTTGAGTTGCTGCTGCTGCTTTTCATGCTTCTGCTGCTGCATGCGCAGCTGCTGCAGCTCCTCCTCTTGATCGCGTAGCTGCAGGTCGCGCTCTTGTACCTGCTGCTGTAGCATCTTCTGCTGCTGCTGCAGCCGCTGCTCGCGCTGCTGCAGCTGCTGCTTGTCCGCCTGCAGCAGCAGCAAAGCTGTATCAATGTAACGCGTCTTGGGCTGCTGCTGGCTTTCCTGTTGTATTCGTTTCAACTGCTGCTGCAGCTGCTCATGCAGCAACTGCTGATGCTGCGCCTGCAGAAGTTGCTGCTGCTCCTGCAGCTGCTGCTTCTGCTGCTGCTCTTGCTGCTGCTGCT